TGTGACAGAAAATTGTCTATGCTGATCCTGGTCTTCGCGCAGCTCCGATATAACAAAATATCGTATATAGGGAGGTAATATACGATATTTTGATGATTTTAGTTACATTATTCACCTTTTATTTCAAGTTTCGAATTTCAATTTGGTAATGGCTTATGACAAACAAGGCCTATGTAGGTCCATGTAGTATAGACCCCAATATAACGGCTATATTCGGTATTTTTAAAATTTTAACAGCATTTTTAAGGACTTTATTTTTTGAAAATTTCCAAATTTGTTCCATATGGTGGAGGATATTCAAAGTTCGGCCCGGCCGAACTTACAGCTTTTTTACTTGTTTTTTAATTCGTAAAGTCAAATTTTAGTCGGTAGATTAAAATGCGTTTTTCTCGAAACTGAACTTTTTCGAGATATGCTACTTTGGAGTAATTGAGCGAAATGTGTTTGCGTTACTTCTATTTATGTGTTTTGAGGCAAGACACACTTGTTTATATATGTTTTTGTAATTTTTGTAATTTCAACAATTTTTTTTTGTAATCATAAAAAATAATTTCGTATTCTAAATATTTTTCGTTTTTTTTTTGTTTACTTACTTACAAACAACAAAATTGTTTGTTTGTAAACAAAAATTTCGAGGGTTTTTGTTTTGTTTTATTTTTTTTAAATTACAACATTTTATGATACCGCTGAGGGAGAAGTTTTCTATAGTGGCTGTTGCTATGATTGTAATGATGATAATAATGTTGATTTTATTCAAATATTTAGAATATATTATCTGTTAAAAATGTTGCAACAATTTCAAAAAAAAACACTGCGGTGACAATCTAACTTTACTTGCCTTAGGGCAAAAACAAACCCTGAAGTACTTAGGACAACAAAAACAACAACAAATCATGAAAAACATAAGAAAAATAGCAACACCTTAAAAGAAAATTTCCTTTTTAAGCCACATGCACATTACTTAGCAGACGATAGTTTCTTTGTGTGGTGTTGTCTTTTTTTCCAGCAAATCCAAAATCCAGCAAATATTATTATTGCGGTTCTGAAGTCGTTGCCAACAAACGTCTACAACAACAACAACAGCAGCAGCAGCAAACATTAGACCCGGCCAACATACCACCTAACTCTACAGCCATCCATTTCACTCCGGTAATCATACATCCATCCAACAACAGCAACATTATTTAGTTTGTGGCCAACGTGGTTGTTGTTGTTCTTGTAAAGAGTGACCAATTCCGTATGCAATGAAAGTTGTTGCTGGTGTTTTGTTTTTGCTGCTCCACTGCCAATTAAAATTCAAAAGTTGTCCCATTCCAAGTGTAGAAAACGACAAATTATATAGATATTATTATAATGCGGCTCGGCTTACTGTTTCTTTTGCTTCTGTGGTTGTCGTTTTTGTTTATTTATTTTTTTTTTTTTTGAGTTTGAGATTTCTTTCTAATTCCTAGTTTCTTGAATGTTTTGGTTTTGTATTTTTTTTTTTTTTTTGGCATTTTAATAATTTCTAATTAGTTGTAAAAGTCAAGTGCATGTTTGGAGTAGAATGTGTGTGTGTATGTGTACATCATGTGTGGGAAGTGGGTGGGCTAAATGCCATGGAAAAGAATGTTTATTCTTTTTATACTAACTTATTCAAGTAATCGTGGCGTTTAAGTCATATTTATTTGGTGTCTAATATACATCTATGGAGACTATACGAATTCCTAAATAAAGATATATTAGATAACGGATAGAAACAAGTTAAAAAGTATCAGCCGACAGAGTTATAGTCTCAACCCATGTTCGATGATTTGAATATATTTTGACTTCTGTTATGATTATTAAAATGTTTGACCCTCTATAAAGTAGGTTCCGAAGGAATAGGCCAATGTGTTTCATTTCGTATCGAACCTAAATAAATATGATATAAATATTGTGACCTGCCTAGTTTGGGCTATATTGGGGACCTCTTTCACTTTATGTGAGATATTTAATCGTTTTTAGAAAATGTTAAGATGTGCATGAGGTACCAGATATAGTCGAGCATGTTCATACTTCAACTAATACAGATAAAAATATTGGTATGGGCAAAATTTCAAAGAAATCATATCAAATTTTATGCCAAATCATAAATCCATGTTCGTCTCAGGTTTCAGGTTGAGAGAAATACTTAGATATAGCAAGTCGTAAAAAATCGCTGACTTGTTTCGCACGTTGTGACAGATAAAGGTATTGAAAATTGTGAGCCTTTGGGTGTAAGGTACCAGAAGGGGTTCGAATATACAAGGTGAAATAAAAAAAAACTTCAACCAAGTCAAACGCCATGATTTTTTTATTTATTTTTTTAAATTTTATTGAATGAAAGCAAAAAATGTCGGAAATAGCATCAAATTTTAGAATAAGTTTAGATTTGTTCGAATTGGTCACCTGTGGCACGAATTATGGACTTCAAGCGGCCAATGAAACCGTCACACGCTGCGTTGGAAATGAAGCGAGGAACCTCATTTTGTAACCATTCTTGGGTGGCGCGTGCTGAGTGTGATGGTTCTGAGTCCTGCTGGAATGTCCAAGGTCTGCGACCAAAATGTTTGCGTCCCAAGGCTTTAATACACTCTCCAGAATATTTTCGTCATACTATTCAGCTGATACCACGGTCGATTAATACGAGCGGAGAGCGACCATCGCCATGATTTTTTTATTTATTTTTTTAAATTTTATTGAATGAAAGCAAAAAATGTCGGAAATAGCATCAAATTTTAGAATAAGTTTAGATTTGTTCGAATTGGTCACCTGTGGCACGAATTATGGACTTCAAGCGGCCAATGAAACCGTCACACGCTGCGTTGGAAATGAAGCGAGGAACCTCATTTTGTAACCATTCTTGGGTGGCGCGTGCTGAGTGTGATGGTTCTGAGTCCTGCTGGAATGTCCAAGGTCTGCGACCAAAATGTTTGCGTCCCAAGGCTTTAATACACTCTCCAGAATATTTTCGTCATACTATTCAGCTGATACCACGGTCGATTAATACGAGCGGAGAGCGACCATCGGCTGTTATGCCGGCCCACACCATAACCATGGCCGGTGCTTGAGTTCTGGTGGCCAACCGAAGGTGCACATTTTCAGCTGACCTCTTTGGCAAGTAAACACAATCATTGTGTTTGTTTACAAACTGCTGGACAACGAATGTTTTCTCATCGGAGAAAACCAAATTCGGCAGTTCGCCACTTTTGGTCAAGCGAAGCATCTTTTTAGGTCTTTATAGTCTAACTTTTTCTGTTGCGGTGTAAGTTCCTTCACTTTTTGGAATTTCAATGGCTTTACCCCGAGCTCATTTTTCAATATTTGCCGAATGGAATATTGCGATATATTCAGCTCACGATCCATTTTTCGGCCACTGCGACGCGGGTTTCGATAAAGTCGCTTCTTTACTTTTCGAACCATTTCTGCTGATGTTGCTGTACCGTATCACGGTAACAAGCAATGGTATGAGACACAAAAGATTTGTTCACATTCAAATGCTGGAGTGATCTAACGATAACCACTTGCCGTTTCCAGCCAAATATAAAGAAATCACACTATCACACTTGAATTCCATTTTCTGGATGATTCTCAACAAAATGCTTTTGTACGCTTGATAATGAGCTGTCACTGGAATAATTTTAACAGCTGTCGGACAAATAGCTTGGAAATGACAGCAGTATATATTTGTTCTTTCTAAAAAATTTAAGTAAATCATTTCTAATTGTGTGGAACATATTTTCAGTTAAGGTTAGATAAAATGATTGGGGACGCCTAAAAGTATGCTACAAAATAAGAAGAAAAAATTCACTTGATGAATTTAATTGCAGGAAGTTCGTAGGAAAATATGCTTTTCAATGCTGCTTTATTCATCTATTTGATGAAATTAATGTTGGGTAGACTTTTCTTAAACTTTTTGGTGTTGTTCCTGACTTAATATTGAATTTTATTGATAACCCGTGTGTTTTCACGCATTTCACTTTAAATTAATAATTATAGAATACTTCGCGGTATAATGCTTTTTGAAAGTAAACATGCCCTTGCTGCCTAATCATTATTTTGAGTGAGCGCCACCTATTGGCGCCATAAATAAACAAATGTGTTCATGGCTTATGTCTTTACTGACAACAGCCACAACTCACGTCATTTCAGTTTTCATCCATCTTATTTACATGATCGTGTGGCAGTGTTGTATTTTGCCATGTAGCCACAATGTGTTATACTACAATTTATAACATTTGTTTGTGTTATACGCAACCAACAGTTTGACTCTTCTATTAAAAAAATCAGTTTGTTTTGTTTTGGCGCTCCTCTCATTTTGCATTGCCTCCCACTCTCTCTCTCTCACACTTATTAAATACCGGTCTCTTGTGTTCTCTGCCTTGTGAGAGAGTGTGGTGTTGTTCGTTCTGTTTTTTTTTTTTTTTTTTTGGTTGTTTACTTTGATTTTATTTTTTTATTTTCGTTTTCTGGTTTATTCCACATGTTGGTCTACGTTCTTTGGTGTTTTTTATTATTATTATTGCTTATTATTACGTTTTTCTTCCTCTCAAACACAAAACAATGATTTTTTTTTTAAATTTGTTGACATTATTAGTCATCTTTTTTCCTTGGCCATATTTGTTGTCGGTACTTTTGATTCTAAATTTTTGCTGTGATTGTTTAGTTGATGAGGTTTTTTTCTAGGGGTGTTGTCCCGAGTTTTTCTTTTGATTTTATTTGTTTTTTTCTTCTTTCCATTTTGATTAATATTGTTGTTGTAATATTACATGTCAAGTTTTCTTGTTGTTTCTTTTGGCTTCTTTGCTGAGTTTTTTATCTTATTTTATTTCCATTTTTATTCCAATTACGTTGTTGTGGCTCACGTGAGAGAGCGCCGCAGTTGTTGCTTTTTGGAGTTAATGTGCATCGTTGTTGTTGTTCGAAATTCTCTGTTGCCTGTTTTTGCTGGTATTTGTGTTGCGTGCTTGAACTCTAGCAAGCATTTTAGTTCACGTTCCTCAGTACGTCTATACAATTCGTGCGAAGTTGTTGGTTGTTCGGATGTGTTTTGCTGTTGGCACAGTGTCGATCGGTTGACTTTTATTTTTTTTGTTTGTTGTGTTTTTGTTTTTCTCTTCTGTGTGTAATTTGAGTTGTAGTGTGTAATATTTTGCTGGTTTTACAAAACGATCCCAACGGTGCTGTATTTGTTTTGTGTGTGTGTGTGAAATGTCCAAAGATTTTCTCTTTTCTGTTAATGGATTTACGAAGTTTGTAATGGAAGGAATTTCCCTCAAGGGAAATTATTTTAATTACACTGCAAAAACGAGAGCAAAAAATGAAAGAAAAACTAACAAATTACATTTCCAAATCGTTTAAGTGTCATTTAAATGTCAATCATTAATTTGTGGATGCTGGCTGGCTGTCTGGTTGGTTGACTTCTGCTTTAATAGGTTTTCTTCGATTTCTTCAGTCAACAGTAGTGGCAACTATTGCACAGTACACAGCAACAACAATAACAACACGATCAGTTTTACTTTAGTGGGGTGTTTGTTTGAATGTGTGTTGCTTGTTGTGTGCCTGCGTGTATGAGAGATGAAGAAGAATTTCGTTGTTGTAAGACCGACCCTCTCGCTGTCATTTACTTCGCGTGTATGTACATGTGCCTGTGTGTGTGTTTGCGTACTAGATTGACAGCCCAAAAAACACAACAGTGATGCTCAATTTAATGCTGCCCCAACTCATAAAATTAACTTCAACAAAACCCCCCCAAAAAAATTAAACAAATAATTCAAAAAACCTGTGTTTAAAAAAACGACAATAACCACAAGAAATCAAAACACAATAATAAAGGTCATTCATGTTTTTTTTGGATCAATCTGTAGTCACTCAAATTAAGTTCAATGAAATGATATGCTAAAATATACAACCCACATTCATTTGATACTCTCGATTAATTGAAAGCAAAAATCGAACATCAATAATAAAGCGGCAAGCAGTGCGCCTACTATTCACATCCCAAAAATGGCTATGAAATAAAAATAATATTTTTATGAAGTTGCTAGCAAAAATTGAAATAAAATACCCATTACGACTAATAAGGAAATAAGGCTACGTATTTTATTTTGAAACTCGATTGAAGCAAGTAACAAAGTAATCGCCTTTTCAATATTTCCCCACCATTTCTACGACAAAATAAAAGTAAAGCACAAAATAATTCAACAGATGACAACCATATTTAGTGAAATTCTTTGCTCAACCAAATCCCTCCCTTTCTATTTGCTATTGCAGGGATGGGTAATGTGAATTAAAAAAAATTGAAAACAATCAGATTAAGTTAATCGTATTATTTTGATAATAAGAAGGGAACAACTCTAGTTTAATAAAAACTCTTCGATTTTATCAAAATTTAGGTATTTTTATCCTGATTCCGGGAGGGACCCGGGACCCCAGATTTTTGAGCCGAAAATCCGGGTTCAAGTCCCGGGCTGGTCCCTTATCCCCTTACCCGATATAGACAAATAGGTATCTTTTGAAAGCTTATAAAAATACCTACCCATGACCACATGATGGGACAAGTGGTCACGGTTCGGAAGTTATAGTCAAATTATCGATTTTTTGAACCCGGATTTTTTATAAAACCCCCAAAAAGTCGAAAAAGAGCCCATTATGGGGGTCAACAAAATTAATGCCAAATTATAGTTGATACTTTTACTTTTCAAAAATGCTACAATTTTAGTAATACCTTTTATGGGTCCAGAGATATGGGTCTTTCCATCCGCATAGCCCGATTCTAACCAGTTCATTCAAATTATGTTTTCAATATAAAAAAGGTTTATTTCGCTTAGCCGTTGTTCCGTCCCACCAGAAAAGAAATTTCAGTGGATCAGGATAAAAATACCTACCTAAAAAAAATTCGAAAAAAATTGAAGTTTTTACAAAACTAGAGTTAAACCGGGATTCCAAAACCTCCATAAGAAAATATGTTTCGGAAAACAGTATAAAACTAACTACATGGAGATTTCTTAATTTTGAAAAAGACGGAGGGTTTTTCTAAAATTCGAATTATTTTAGTGGCAGAGAATGTCATACGGAATATCAGTGGATTTTGTGTACCTTTTAGCTTTTTCACTTTCTTCCTTTAACAAACGATAATGAAAGATTATCAGGATCGACAGACCGATAGAGATTTAAAGGTAGGGCTTAACTTGATTAAAAACTCTCCGATTTGTCGACGAAGATATTTTTACCCTGTTTAAAAGAAGATTTAAATCACTGGATTCGGGAAGTTCTGAAAAAATATAACAATTTTCTGGTTTGAAGTATAATTTGATAGGATATAAGAAAAGTTAAAAAAAAAAAAAAAAATACATGAAATCTGTACGGTCCATATAATTTAATATTTGAAGACCATGTCATCGCATGATCAGACATTTTGATAATAAAATACAATGATATATAGAAGCGCTGTTAGTTTGTAAGACGATTCATGGTTGAATTATATACGAAACTGAAGATGTTTGACAGTGAAACAAAACACTAACTTGCTCGAAATGGTAAAATGCCATTCCGTCATGCATAGACAAACACGAGAAATGTTTATACAAATGAGATCGGAATACCGTAGTCGATTTAATGATATACCTTAAAATGTCCGTCCAAGATGTCGTTGTGCCTGTCTGTTTGAAACAATAATGTAAGTTTCTTATATTTTTGAAGCTTGGTGACAGAAATAGAGATTGGTTAGGAAAAGACAGAACTTCGAGCTACAAAAACACTCGCAACGGTATGACAAGAACGAAAAGAGTGCTCAACAGGAGTAGAATCTGCTCAAGCTTACTCCTATTTCAGCGACATCGAAAAATTGAGTTTTCTCGATGTTCGAATTCGATTGAATTTTACTATTTTGTTAAATTCGAGCGAGTTTTTTGGAGGTCTGTGTGAATCAGAAGATCTTGTTGGTCAATTGTGATTGTATTTTCGGGATATAACACAGTCCGGAAACTTTCCCGCAAAAGAGTCAAGGTTTCGCTGCTTGTATTGTACGTATGAACGACAGCGCATTCCATTCACCGTAAATGTTTCTTTTCGAAAAAAAATAATGTCGAATGTCCTTGCCGGGTAAAAAGGGTTAATGTTAGCCATAGAGGTGGAAATAGACTCCATCTGCTAAAGTATGTTTTGGAATTCTGGATATTTTTCATGAATTTTAAGGACTTTTGTCTATTCTGAAATATAGGTATGTTGTATAACCAATAATCTTAATGTTATTTCTGTAAGCTGTGATCAATATGAAATCTGTCCACTTCATTAACTCTCCACCAACATTAAATATAAAAAAATTGCACTGTGTATCAAATATTTATATATTTTTATATGCTTTGATTAAACAAAGATTTGCTCACCATCAAAATTGTTTGCCAACGTTGACTAAATTGTTCGCCAACGTTGACTAAATAATAATTTGCTTGGGGTTGTCATTATGCATAAAATGCGCACATTGACAATTCCCATCTCTGATTTCGTGTAATAACTGTTGCCTCATTTCTCCTTATTGTTTTGTTTTCTCCACTCTCTTCCAAGAAAGCAACCAAGTGCTCTTTGCTCACATGTCTATTTACCACACCACAAATGAATAATTACGCTATACATTTACATAAACATGTTTGTGCCTCCCCTTCTCTATCCATGGTGTGATACAATTACCCGCTCTACAACTCCATGTTCATTGCCCATACATGTACCTATGTATGGCGGAATGGCATTATGCATTTAAGAAACAGATAGGAGATAAGCTGCGAGCGTCAGCACAACAAAAATATAACAACACGCAACAAATAAGAAATGTCATTACATTTTACTGACTGCTTTCTTGGTGTTGTTGTGGTGGTTTTCATTTTGAAGTTTTATCGGCTTATCATCATCTAGCCACCATTCAAACAACAAACGTGTTGAGCTAATTTATGGACATTTTTGTCTCCGTATTCTTGTTTTTGCCTTTTAGGGAGGGAATCAAAAACAAAGACCTGATTTGACTGCAAAAACGACTATCGAACATGGAAGCCTGTTTTCGGAATATTGTAAACAAATAAATATTTATCTACGTTGTTTTGTTTATAATTGCAAATGATTTGATATTTAAGGAATGTCATTTGAGAAGCAGAGATCGATCGGCATTTTCATTGTCAATGAGAGAATGAGTTAGAGAAAGTGATCGATTTAACTCTCGGAGAGTTCTAAAACTGAGTTGCCACAATGTTTTGCAATCAGTTATTTTAAGGAAGTGGAATTGAATGATGGAAATTTTTTGGTCTAGCAAAATGGCACTAAATACATAAATGAAACGTATTTTATACAAACGTTTTCTTAAATAGAATATAGACATTCTGGCAAATCTGAAGCGAGGAACCTCATTTTGTAACAATTCTTGGGTGGAGCGTGCTGAGTGCGATGGTACTGAGTATTATTGGAATGTCCAAGGTCTGCGGCCAAAATTTTTGCGTGCCCAAGGCTTTACCCTTCAGAATATTATCGCGATAATATTCGGCGTTTATTCTGGTGTCACGGTCGATTAACACGCGGAGAGCGACCATCGGTTGTTATGGCGGCCCACACCATCGCCATGGCCGGCGCTTGAGTTCTGGTGGCCAACCGAAAGTGCATATTTTCAGCTGACCTCTTTGGCAAGTAAACACGATCATTTTGTTTGTTTACAAACTGCTGGACAACGAATGTTATCTCATCGGAGAAAACCAAATTCGGCAGTTCACCACTTTCGGCCAAGCGAAAGAACTCTTTAGCTCTTTTGAGTCTATTTTCTTTCTGTTGCGGTGTAAGTTCTTGCACTTTTTGGAATTTCAATGGCTTTACCCCGAGCTCAATATTGAGATATGTTCAGCTCACGAGCCATTTTTCGGCCACTGGTTTTCCAGTCAAATATAAAGAAACCACACTATCAAGATTGAATTCAATCACGAAAAACTTTTTTCTGGAAAATTCTCACCAAATGCTTTTGAACGCTTGTAAACAATATAATGAGCTGTCACTTTTAACAGCTCTCGGACGAGTGGTTTAGAAATGACAGTAGTCTGAAGTTGGTTGCAGGTTTTCATCTCACCCTGTATTTGCATGACTTAACCTTCATAATTCTACCAATGATGCAACAAACTATTCTTATATTTTTGATATTTTTGCTCATTTAATCAATATTTAAATCCTATGGCAAAGCTGGTTAACATTTCTAGTACGCGCCTCGCCATGTACGTTTTTTCTGGTCATTGATCTGAATTTTTTTATTTTTCAAAACAATAAATGTGTACCCAAAGTTGGCCACGCTCAGAAACAATTGTAGACCGCTGGTAGCTCCACTATACCTATTTTTGTACCATGCCCATACCCTAATTTGTATTAAAATTGATCGGTCATGGAAGGTAGGCATTTCTAACATTTTTCCATGATAAAATTATATAGATTGGCGTATCAACACAGCTGCTGGTACAATGATCTTTCAAAACATTTTTGAAATTCTAAATTTTGAATGAAAACTTATTAAAATTAGTGAAATTGGTTGGAAATCATATATAACACTGACTTCTGAATGGCATCGTATAAGAAAAATCTTTTAAAATTCATTTATTTTCGGAGATATTTTTAAATATTTTTGACATATCAATGTCCGCGAGTGTTGATGCATCTACCTGTATTCTTCTGCCATGCATTTTTCTTAGAACTCTTGGCTACTGTGTAACACCTTTCCACCAGACCTCTTTCCCCAAGTGGGGAAAAATCTTCGATCTTTTTAATCTGGCAACTTTGAAATATGTTCTGTATCTTATCTTTGCCCTGATAACAACGATCTCCACTGTTTACTTTTTGTTGTAGAACAATTGTCATTAATATTTATAAAAGGGGAAATTTCGTTGTCTCTCTCATTAGCTCAGCTCTTATTGAACTAAATTCCTCTCTTTGTGCATTACTTGCTCTCCGAAAGAAAGAAACAAGGCAACTTTTGTAAAGGGAATGGGCACAATTTTCAAAATGCATTGCACGTCGTCGTGGTGTGGTTTTCTATTTAACTTGTCTCATTGCTATTGTTGTTGTGCCTGATTGACTGCCGTCTTCTTATTCCACTTCTCGTACTGTCTGTCTTACACGACAGCTAGGCAATTATTGCGTTTATTTTATCGGAAGAGGGGCGGAGGGGTTTCTTTTTCTTCCTGTGCTAACTGACTCTAATCATCATCACCGATACAACGAACGAACAAACGACGACAGTATTCTAATAAATTTGTCAACAAAATGAATGAAATCATGATTTTTAAATGAATTTCACGTACCCGGTTTGTCGCCCATCGTTTGTTTTTCTTCACTTTTCGACATTTATTTGAATGCAGGCTATTTGTTTAGACACAATCTTCGATGTCAACCAACCAACCAACCATCCAACCATACTGTGTACACAAATTTTATTTGACTTGTGTTTTTTTTTAACAAATAGATAAAGTTTATATAAAAAATTGACAAAAATATAAATAAATTTAAACAAAATGTTTTGAATGCAAACACAATCTATGGAACAGTTCCAATTTTGTATTTCTAAATATTACAAAGATCAAGACTGAAACATCCATTCAAAGGGGAATTGTGTAAAAATTCCTTTAAAGAAACAACAACGAATTCCATAACAACGAACCAAAACAACATTATTCCAATATGATTAAATTGAAATCACTTTTTCGCAGAGGACAAACGCCCTCACAGTCCTCATCGAAACATTCCAACAGTAGTAGCAGCAGCAACAATAATCGCAACAAATCCCAGTCGACTCAATCCCTAAACACTGCCATTGAAAACGAGGACAAAAAACAACAGGCGGCAGCAGCAGCTTCGGCATCTTCAAAATTCTATCCCAATGCAGATATTCCTCCGCCCATCATACAAATAGAAGGTTCTTCGAGTGAACGTGGCGTAGATGTGGGTGATGATCATTTGAATAACAGCTATCACAGTTTGGAGCCAAATAAATTATCAACTGGTATTGGTGGTAATACGGCATCATCGGGACAACACGCTCACACCTTGCCACACAAGAAAACCAAGGGAACAACAGCCAAGAAAGGTCAAAAACAACCCAAACCCTTGCCAGTTGCACCCACAGTTGTTGCTCCTCCACCAGGTGGCCCAACAGGCGATGTAATGACTTCAATGGCAGCTGTAGCACCCGGAACTCCAAGTTCTTCTGTCAAGCCCGGCTCGACAGCCTCCCTTTCGACATCACACTCAAATCCGGCACTATCAGCCACGACCGGAAATGCTGCTGCCACTTCCGCCAATGATTTGTATGCCCTAAATCCGGCATTTATGGCAGCAGCCGCGGCGGCCAGCTATCAATTTATCAACAGCGAGCAGCAACAGATTTTGGAGGTAAATTATAAAATTGAAAATGGTTTTGCTTTTCATTGTTTCAATACATAATAACCTTTTTGTTTTTCTTTTCCATTCCATTCAGGCTTCAAATATCAAAATGCAAGAACTACAATCTCAATTGGATCGTTTGGCACGTGATAAAATGTTGGCAGAATCTCGTGTAACGGAACTATTGCCGTATCAGAGTGAAGTTAATAAGCTTAAAAATGATATTATCAAAATGCAGGTAAGAATTGATTGAATTTCGGAATTGTGTATTAAAAAAATGTTGTGCCACATTTAAAAACCTTGTAAGGATACAATTATTCGATAATTGTAAAAATATTGCCCCAGTAAAAGATAACTTATTGCAAAGTGCTGCCCGAGTCAGCTGTTCCCCAACATATAGATTTGATTTTATCGAAGATATTAGTTCCAGTGTTTACATCTTAGGAAGAAAAATTACAAAGGGGATAGATGGGACATATAGAAGTAGATAAAAAAGAGATTTGTAGAACCGATTCAGCTGGGTGGTTTATATAGCCAGAAGATATTTTTAGCAAATCTATGGGTGACAATGTGCTTTCTGTCCAAGAAGAATATTACATTTTATATCTCTTACCTACCGATTAACATTCGTATTGTATGTTCGACAACCTGGTACATCTACAAATCTGGTGTGATATTATCACTACCCCCTCTCCATCCTCATATAGTCTACAGTAGCCAGGGCCGCTGTTTTCCCATTTTGAGGTCAGATACCTGATTCACGTCTGGCCTAATAACTGATAACCAATGACTTTAGATATCTTACAACCGGCTTCCAAGTGCCACCTCCTGCCAGCATCCTCATTTAAGATTGTCTTGAAAAATCCTGATACTGTAGCTTACAATTGGTTTGACAGTTTCCCCAATCGGTACATCAGTAGACTGGGACGAGGTAATTCATCAGCCATTTTATTCCTTATTATATTACTATGACGTGGAACCCAACAAAGCTCAATAATGTCTCGCATTTCCAAAACGGACTTTGTTGTAATCAAGAATGGCTCTCAATTTCATGGTACTTGACCTAATTGCTTTAGGGGATAGGTTGAAAAGATGTCGCCAAGTCCTAGGAGGCCATACACATAAACCTGTATTTTGGCCCTTGTGCGCTCTAATGTCTTTCCCATTACGGATAAGAATGTCATGAGCTTAAAATATATATCCAAACCTTAGACTCTAGTCATGATGCTTCTAAGGACTTTTAACTTTCTAGTTTTATGTTTCTCAAAACTCTGGCATTTTTAATTAGTACGTAATAAGAAGTTTTTACTGATAGCTGCATCCGAAGAGTGGTTTTATGTTGGTAAAATTGAATAGAAGTGCTACTATGTCTGCCACTGGACCTGATTTGATATGGGAATGTGATCATCTGGTCCACTTTAATCGCTGCAAAATATTTGTTGTGGAGAAGAAAAATAAGCATTAGAGTATTCAAAGGGTATTAAGGAAGTGCATACAGAAAGAGATTAGGTTCATTTCTGGTACTATCATCCATTAAAGCCCTTATCTAAATGACAGATGTAGAAGCTTTAATGTTTGAATGAGAATTATGATCAGAGTTTTCTCAGGACGACGTCCCCCCTTAGGGGGAGATACAAGAAGGAGTCCGCCGATATATCCCATCTTTACAACAGAACTTGTGTTAGTAGAAATAATGGGATGTGTGAAGTATGTAGGGAAACGGATGCTTATTTCGAATTTTATGTTCGTTTTTGGTAACTCAAAATGGGAACCCTTTTGTGAGGGCGCTACCAGGTACCGATTCCTACCATCTTTATATTAGATCTTGTGTAGATAGAAATATTGAGATGTGAATATTGAATATTTAAAATGTTGACCATTTGTGGGGAGCTTCTAGAAGGAGTGGGCCGATATACCTACCTTAACACCAGATCATGGATTAATACAAATATTGTGATGTGTGGTATTTGAAGACAAGCGGACTCTAATATTACATTTTGTAAGAGATATAATTATGCAAAATTTTGACCCTTTGTGGGGGAGGTTCTTGATGGAGTGGACCGATATTGTCCATTTTCGCACCTGACCTAGCACTGTTACAAATATTAGGATTTGCAAAGTTGGAGCAAAATTGGATTTTTCTTTCTCTTTTGCTGTGCAGTAAAATATATATTTTTGAAAATTTCGACTTTTTTTGGGGGAAGTACCAGAAGGAATGTACCGATATTGCCCATCTCCGAACTCGATCTAAGTTTGATAATAATATTACGATGTACCGAGTTTGGGCCAAATCGGATACTCCCTTCGAGAGTTTTTGAGCGTGCCAGCCAGGAAGACGGACGGACATCACTAGATCAAATGTTTTGATACGGATTTGGTCTAAAGAGACCAAGGGTATAAAGCCATTATTTCGATGAGGCTCGTTGTGGCCGTATCAAATGATATATACCCTCTCTAACCATATGGCTGAGGGTGTAATAAATTCACGATTAAGAGTTTATCGTGTTGTCTTTAGCCACTTTAGTCTTCTGGACCATCCAACAGAGCTTGATGGTCGGCCTAATATTTCCCAAGGCTTCCCTACACTCCAAAATAGCCATAGATTTAATGGAAAAAAGATTTACGCGCAATCACCAGACCCTTAAACTCGCGGCTTCCATTATCAACATTTAAGCTTTCACGACCAGTTTGATTTATTTTTTAGCTGAAATTGTTACATCTGATTGTGGTGTATTTTCACTCACGTCTAGGATTTCCAACCACTCACCACAAAAATAACAAATTTTAAAAGCCACACCTAAGAACTTATGTATGTACGTATTAGCAGCTGGCCGTGAAATTGGCAATGAAGAATTACGATAAATATGCATATCTCCCCTCCCGTAGTTTTTATGCTGTTCCTGAAGTCTTGGCTTGGAGTTTATCCAATGCATGTTTCAAAAATAGAATTTTCCACACTCTTTCGCTTAAAACACGATATTCTAATGCACATGCAATGGCATATAAAACGAATGAAACCGACGTCAAGTGTTGTTTTTTTATTTTGTATAATTTGGTACCCTCTCCCCTTCTTTTTCTGCCCCTCAAACGACAACAACACATTTGCTTGCTATGTTCATTCAATCATAAAACCACAAAACGAAAACATTTCATTTGAGATCAGCGAAAATATAGATCTATATCTGTCTAGCTGTCTATCCACCTATCTAACTATCCATCTATATGTTCGGTTAGGCAGCTCAATAACAAATCAACCACTTGACCACAAATCTATCAAAATTCTTTCTGGCGGGCTGGCGGGCTGGCGGGCGGTCGTAAACAGAACAAACCAACTTTAGACCCGCGACGACTTACAAATGGGTTTTAGTAAGGAACAAAACAACAACAACAACACAAACAGTTATGACTTTTGTTTTTGACTCAATCTCATGCCGTATTTTGGGAAGTTGCCTCATTGCCAAAACATGATTCCATTATTTACGGCATATGTGGTGTTAATGATAACTGACTGTTGGCGGACATTCCCTTTGTCGGGGTGTTCAATTACTACTTGATGGCGTTTTCAATTTGTCATGTTGTTCTTATTGTTGTTATTGTTTTATTTATTTTTTTTATATTTCTAGAGTGCCCAAGAGAAGAATCAACTGGAAATTGCAAATTTAAAATATGAAAATGAGTCGTTGAGAAATCGCTTAAGAGACGTCGTCAACTCGCCTTTATCCGATGCGGAAAAACATCAAATCATACAAGATTCTCAACGTTTACATAGTTCAGCACCAGCTTCAATTGCTCTACCAACAGTAAGTTATACCGTCGAAAGATATCAATGACAACAATGTAGTAACATCTAACATATTATTACCTACTCCCGTCCCTATTTCCAGTCTGCAGAACACGACAATGGTGGCACTCCCTGCCTCACCCCGGACTGGGATAAACATTCCTCGTCCAGTGAAATTTCTGTAGCTTGCCTGCAGGACAAGATCATACAAATGGAAGAGACCCATTACTCAACCAATGAAGAATTACAAGCCACACTCCAAGAACTATCCGATTTGCAGGCTCAATTGAGTGATGCCCAAACGGAAAATGAACGCCTAGCCGAGGAGAAGGATGTCCTGTTCCAATCGTTGTGTCGACAAACCGAAAAACTAAACGATTCTCGTACCCAAATCAATAACCTGCAAGAGCTATTGCTTAGAGATGCTAACAAAAACAATGCCGAGGAGGCTAATTCCTCTGAAAGAGAAAAGAAATTGATGGATCTTATCAAGACAGCCCAGGATGAACGCGAAGCTGTCTTAGTCAAGCAAGAAGAACTCAATGCCGAGTTGCAGGAACTAAGGCAGGCTAACGAAAATCATATTTCCGACCAAACTCGTCTAAGGGAGCGCATTGCTCTACTCGAATCGTCCATTGATGCGGAGCATGCCCAGCGTAAACAAATGGAACTACAGTTACAATCAGCCAAAGAGGAAATTTCACACGGACTTATTGAAATCAATCGCTTGACAACCCTGCTGGAGAATGCCAAATCAAAAATCGAAGAGCTAGAGCAAGATTTGGCTCGGGGTGATAAAACCGATCTCAGTGAACTTTTAGATGCTGCACGCAAGGAAAAAGATCTTCTCGAAGAGAAGGTGGCCGAAATTCAAGATCAGTGGTCACGCAGTCAGGCCGAAGTAAGGCGTCTAAAAGACCAGATTGCCGATCTTACAGAAGAGCTCAAAGTTTCGAAAAACAACTCAAAATGTGCCCTCTCCCATCTCGAATTCCGTTTGGATCAAATGCAACAGGAAAAGGACAAACTATCCGCTGAACATCAACAATTGTGCGAGAGTACAAACGAATTACAAGTGCAATGTAAATGTCATCTAGAGGACAAAAATCAACTCCAATCACTGTTGGGCGAAAGCCAACAACAGCTCAGTGAAATGGAACGTAAACTGAAGGAAGCCCAACAGCAATTGGAAGATCTGCAGCAGCTACGCAAACAAGAAGCCGAAGAATGGCAGCAATTCCAAGCGGATCTTCTGATGACGGTTAGGGTGGCCAATGATTTTAAGACTGAAGCCTTAAGTGCTAGAGAACAATTAGTATTGGATAATAAGACGCAGAAAGAGAAGATACGAATGCTGGAGCAGCAAATTGAAAAATTAACCAAACAACGTAAGTTAAACAAATCGATGTGAATTGCAAACGGATTCTTCGGCTCACGGGGAACGATTGCAAGATTAAAACAAGTGAGAAAACTGTAAGTTCGGCCGGGTCGAACTTTTAATATCCACCACCGATTGAAACGAATTTGGCAATTAAAAATTCGGCTAAAACCTTTAAAATACTGAATGTAGCCGTTATATTAGGGTTCATAAGCTGACGTGAATCTGCATACGCAACTTTTGTCATAAGCCGTTACAATATTTAAATGCGAAACTTGAAAAAAAAAAAAATCGGTGAAAAATGTAGCTAAAATCATCAAAATACTGAATATAGGGAGGTACTATTATATGGAGCTACACCAAAACGTGGATCTGCACAGACAATTTTCTGTCATAGGCTGTAGTATTCATTACGAACTTCTAATACTAAATTTGAAACAATTGCGGTAAATAATGTCGATAAATTCATCAAAATACCCAATATCGGGAGGTCAGTTATATGGGGGCTATACGAAGACGTGGACCTGCATAGACAATATTCTGTTATAGACTTAAATATCCATTACGAACTGTAAATATCAAATTTTAAACAATTCCGGTGAATAATATCGCCAAATTCATCAAAATACCCAATATCGGGAGGTACCGTTATATGGGGGGTATACGAAGACGTGGACCTGCACAGACAATTTTCTGTCATTACGAACTTCAAATATCAAATTTTCGATTTCCGGTGAATAATGTCGCTCAAGTTACCCAAATATAGAAAATAGGGAAAATACCAAAACCCATGGCCTATTTTCAATGCCAAATGTCCTGCAAATATTTGAGTAAAATTTTATCAACCTACTTCATTTCGTTCAGAAGCTAGGGTGATTTCCACAGACGGACAGACCAACCGACATCGCTAATTCGACATAGAATTTTATGCTTATCAAGAATATATATACTTCGTGGGGTCTAAAATGTATATTTCTAAGTTTTACAAACGGAATGACAAACTTAATATAGGGTGGAGCGAAAAAGTAATGACATATTCATTAAACAGAGGGAGGTATTAACTCGAAGTTGGATTCGTTACGAATTTTACTTAAATCGTGGTTTTCCTTTGAACCAGTTAGTTAGTTAGGCTAGAAACTTTAGAAGGTTAGGTTAGGTAAAGAAGATTAAATATAAAATAATTACGAAATTGTGGGACCATACTCAGTAAGATGACACAAAAGTAAATGCCAAAGAAAAAAAATTCAAATTTGTCTTCCTATTTAAAATTTTCATAATTATGTAAATAATTTGAAAAACACGTTTAGAATGGTATTTTTATTCAGAAACGGACTCTATAAGTACTCCCAAATATCCTTAAAGAGTCAAATTTTAAACCCACTTCATTTGTAATTTGTATTAGGTCTGGCGGAAATTTGATAGACGCCAATTATCAAATTTATCTCTGTTCCGAAAGAAACAACCTTTTACTCGAAATAAAACTGAATTGAACTTTCTTTTTTTCATATAGAAATTTAACATTTAACTTTTCTTATTTTTTAGAACAACAACAAACCGAAACACAACAATCCGTATTATCCACGGTACAACAAGAAATGGCCTCCAGACGCAGTAAAGTAGGCAGCTTTTCCAGACAAGATTCACGACTGTCTGTCAAAACCCTGATCGAAAGTATAGAAAATAACAAACAGGTAAATAGTAATTGATCATCGGAGAAAATGATGAGAATATGTTTTGCATTTACTTCGACAGTATTTTTTAATTGGAATCTTAATACCTTGTTAATGGAATTCATGCCTAGACTTGGACCATTGTAATATTTTGGGAAGGAATTTTACATTAATTAGAAGTATTACGTTATTAGGCATTCCGGCACTTAAGCATTTTGAAAAGAAGATTAAACCAATTGCTGCGTCGGTACCACCTCCGGTCTTATGTATTTTCATTGATGGAATCACAAGGCCAAAATTTGTGAACGTGAAACATTAGATATAAAAACTGAATGCAAATGTCCCGCAAAGAATGGGTAAAAGCTTCACATCTAATAATTTCACGTTTAAGGAATCTTCTGTGTGGGGAAAAAATATTTCAACAGAATAATAAATCTCGTGTTGTCTAATTAAGATACTTTTTCACAAACAATAAGCCTGTTTGAAAAGGGAGTACAGAGTATTTAACCATCTATATTTTAGCGTTCACTGTCTTAGTTCCTGTGTGGCATCTGTATCTTCTTATCCGTGCTGTGTGAAGAACACATTTACCTCCTTACAACTGGAAATATAAATGATCAAAGAAGACCCAGAGTTAGTCCACATTTTTCAACACATTGCTTTGCTTTTATACGTTTTTAAACTAACGTTGTTTGTATTCTTGGTATAATCTCCTTGTAGGTTTCTGAGACTCATTTTACCCGAATTTTATCGCACTGATGCAGATGTCTTTCCAAGGAAAGTAAGAAAGCAACAGTTGTCATAGCAATCCATGACAGTTTTTGTCAAATTTAAAACTCCTCAGGAGGAATCAGTTTCCACATATGTGATACCTGTGTAATGCTTAGGACGATCTGTGTTATGTTTATGATTTCTGCCCACCCCTGTATAATATTTTATGTTGGTACAGTTTCGAAGATTTTTTGAATATGGGGTAACTTTGCAATTAGCGTGGCATTCGGAGTAATTTTGTTAGATCAATTAACTCCAGTAATTCCTTGTTCCAACAGTTTTCGATTTTGCTGAATTATTCGTTCCGTCCCTAATCATTCTGTTTCGATCTGGACTGCATTTCTCAGCGACTACCAAAGTACAAAGACGGCAATATAACACAACAATGCGCTCCGACATGCAGTGTTCTGTGTCCAAATGTCCTGTATGAATAATCGCCAGGGGGAGTCACCATAAATTAGTTGAACAAGATCATGATAATGAGATAAATACTAAGAGTTTCAGCTGGATTTTTTATATGAAATGTCATTCCAACCATTACAATTTTTCCCTGCACCAAAAATAGATGTTCTTCTTGCCTGTAAAGTCCCCACGATGTTTCACATTTCTTAAATATTTCAACAAATCCACTTTATAGGGAAACCAATAAATGTCTCGCAGTCTCATTCGCTGAAAAACCCGGTGAGGAAAAGTCAAATGTCGGGGCGGGGCCGACTATATGATACCCTACGCCACTAAGCATATTTAGTAGAGCTCCCGTAACACCTAGAGCTCCACCTATCAACATTTGGCTTTAGAACAGTTATAATTTGGTTTCAGGGGGAACTAATATATGGGAGGCATATCCAATTCTGAATCCATTTTCACTAAATTTGACGGGGACAATTTAATATTTTATAACAAATAACATTGCTATAGAGTGCATGATATCATTTCGAGAAGGAAATGGAAACGTACGTCCCGAAATTCATTCCATTTGGGCTGATATTAGCCATTATTTGCATAATAAACCTGAAATCGGATTAAGGATGTATATGGGAGCTATATGCAAATCTTAGCCAATATCGATAAAATTTGGCAAAGGTATTTCCGAGCTCTATAAGATATCTGGTACCAAATATCATTGTTGTCCATGTGTGCTTGCTTCTAAACTGAATTCCGTCGGATGTGCCAAAATTCAGGACTTTTGGACTGATATTGCCCATTTAGTGCACAATTAACCCTAAATCGGTTAAAGATATATATGCGAGCTATATCCAAATATGGGACGATCTTGGTAAATGTTGGCATAGGGCAGTATCTGATATCTGATACCAAACATCATTCTTGTGGGGTGCATATTACGAATGTTGGGAACATAAACACCAAACCGGATGAAACATATATATATGGGAGCTATAGCTATATCTGAACCGATTTTCACCAAATTTCATGTACTTGCTTATAGACTGAATTCGTTCGGATATAGCAAAATTCGCATAGATATTGGTGCACAATTAAGCCGAAATTGTTTGAAGATATATAGGAGCTATATCTAAATCTGATCCGATTATCCCTAATTTCATTAGGGTTAGTCCTTGGAAAATTTCATCTCAATGGGATATTAAATGTGATCTGCATTTTGTTTACAAGAATACAGGGACGGACAGACGGACCTCAGATCCACAAAAGTAACTATGGGTCTATCCCGATTTCTTCTCCATGTTACAAACAAATGCACAAAGACCCTTACTACTATGTGGTGTAGGGTAAAAAAGTAATTTTATTGGTGTCACTCGCTAGGGAGAACATCCTACAAGAAAGGAATTTAGTTCAAAGAGCAGCATCTTTACAGATTTAGTTGCACATCTCAATCTGTACTGAATAATCTACTTAACATAAATCCCTTAAGCCTGTTTAGTCCTCGGCTGAACTTCGAATTACAAGACATCTATATACCTGACAGGGACATCTGGAACTGAAACAGCCCACCTTTCAACGGGTTTGGGGTCTTCTGTGAAAATCTGGATATCAGAAACTCCTTTAAACTTAACAACTACTGCAGTGTATTCCAGGCAGAAATCGTTGCTATCAAAAAATCAATTGACCTATTGGCAAACAGAATCAGTGAACTAAACGTTCAATTTTTGAATGTAGAAATGTCCTGGAAGAAGTTAAGTCGTCCATTAATAATTTTTGGGTTCCAGACCATTGCAACAGTACCGGCAATGAATTGGCAAGACGTGCATCCGAGCTAATCGATTCGGAAATCGAGAACTCGACGAAGCCACCCTTTGTGCCACTAGTGATACATAAACAATACTCCGAAAGATTTCAACAAAACTGGCTAAATAGAAGAGGATGCAACGTTTCTAAGAAAATTTGACCGGTGTTATCCGAGTAGATTTCAAGATGATGTTGGAAACTGATACAGTAGATCACATACTTTGCCATTGTTCAATTCTTTTCGGTGTAAGACATAGGCCAGCAGTCATTCTTCAGTTAGCCAAAAGACTAAAGTGGAAAAAGATGACAAGTTAATCATTTTCACTATTTTCTTGAACTGTAGGATGAATTCATCTGAGCAACAGGTTTCAGAGTGGAGTGGTTGTTATGAAGCCACCGTGCATCCTTGCCACTACGAGGCAGAATTCGAATTATTAGATAGTATCTTAGTATTGTCAAACATAAATATTGACAATATATTATCACTGTTACTTTCATGGTGTTTAGCAAGTTGTTTGAATTGTATTCCGTTCCAACAGCATTACTTTATGAAGCTTATGACTGTTTTCCAGGCTTTAACGAAGTGTAGTTCAGCATTATGTTTACAGTAACTTATATCTCTTTAATTTGCCAACTTATCTAATTTCATACTTGTATCCTTTTCATTTTAGACCGCCAAAGCCGAAGAACCAGAGTCTCGCTATAGCTCCTCGTCAAGCTTAAATAGTAGCAGTACTCCCGAAATAACCCCCAGTACTATGCCGTTAGTCAGTACTACAACCAATAATCCCGATTGGTCAGAAAATGTGAGTATTCTATTTTTGTTTCTTATTCCAAATCTTTCTAACCTTTCCCTTCCGTTCAACACAAATAGGTTTCCCGACTAACGCCCATTATTGGCAGCTTAAATACAACAACAACGGCAGCTACATGCACACCCAATAATACCACATCATCCCTTGGCTCGTCCTTGACGACGACAACAACAACGACCAAGGGTCCTCTCAGGGAACAACAACAACAGCAATCTGTAGTATCCAATCTACACATCAGTAGTCTCAACAATGTCTCCAAATCTCTGTTAAGTGGTAAGTTGTACTTAAAGCAGTTATGAGACGAACCCCATTTTAATTTATTTCATTTTTTTTTTTTTATTTGTTAACAGGTGAACGCAAAGATCCTTTGAACATGTTGGCCAAAAATGGCGGTTCAAAGCGTAATGCTTTGTTGAAATGGTGTCAAAATAAAACTGTCGGTTATCGCAATATAGACATCACAAATTTCAGTTCATCCTGGAATGATGGCTTGGCATTTTGTGCAATTTTACATTCCTATTTACCGGATCGCATTCCTTATGATACTTTAAGTCCAGCCAACAAAAGACGTAATTTCTCATTGGCATTTGCTGCCGCTGAATCGGTGGGCATAACCACAACTTTGGTAAGTGAAAATTGTTTTGATTTTTATCGGAAAATTTTGGTATTAACTTTCGGTTCGTTATTCTTTTCAGAATATCAATGATATGTGTCAAATCGAACGTCCCGATTGGACCCAAGTAATGTCTTATGTTACAGCTATTTATAAGTATTTTGAAACTTAAGAAAGTCATCTCCTCACATCTTTCTTAGTTTTAATATTTTCGTTTTCTCTTCATTTTTTAATTATAATTATTTTATTTTAAACATCTGTTGGCGTATATATTTTTTATTGTTAACGAAAATCTTAAATGTTATTATTTTATAAGTTCTATTCTCCCTCCTCCTCATCCCTTTCTCATTCTCCAAATAATCTAACGATAATGCCGAATCTTCATTTTTTATGTTTTTATGCAAAGAAAGCCAAATTATTTTATAAATTTTCTTTTGTTATTTTAACATTATTATTTTCACATTTCATTAAATTTATTATTTATTTTATTGTGTATTTTTTTAATTAATTACAACAAAAAACAAACAACAATAATTATGATAAATGTTTAATTAAGAAAGTGTAAATATTTTGCAGATCAACCATTATTAGCTACTAAAAAATCTATTATTTATTTTTGATAAACCAGAAACAAAGCAAAAAAGAAGAAAAAAGTAAAGAAAAAAATAATAAATATGAATAATATGGAATTTGTATTGTAGTTTTATTTATTGAAATCGACTGGGTAACGAGGATATATACTCTGGTGATGTTTTGGGCTGAAGGAAATCATGAATTAAAATTCCGTCACAGTTTTTTTTTTTCCAAAGAACTTGAATTGAAAACAGGAATTTAAAGAAGTACTAAAGAAAGATAATTTTTTTAGTGCATGGGGTGCAAGTGCCAGGTAATGTAAAGCTACCAGCTGGTTACAATTTTTCTTGAGTGTGCCCGATTTCAGCAAATTTTGTTTTTGTATTTATTGTTTTGAACAATAAAAACAAAAAAATGATTAAAATCAATGACTAGAAGAAACGTACATCGCTGGGCTCGCATTCAAGAAACTATGTTAGTCAGAAGTGATTAAACACATCTCTACCGGCTAAGTGACCAAAAGTTTTTTTTAAAATTTGATGTTTTTAAGTAGCCGGCCTTCGGCTGATTCTCCTCTGTGTATGCCCAAAACCGGGTGTGCAACACAACAGTTTTTTAAATTTGTAAAATTTTTAAAGTTTTCAAAAAATTATACTTTTAATTTAGTTGTAATCAAGGCATAGAGCTCAAAATGGTTATTCGATATAACTTTAGTTTAGTAAAAACTCTCGGATTTTTTTTGGACGGACCCGGATTCTCTAATGTTTGACCCAAAAAGTTCGGGTTTAAGACACGGACCTTTGGCTGGGAAACCACAAGTGGCTATCGTTAGAGAACTCCAGCATTTAAATATGAATAAATCTTTTGTGTCCCGTACCATCGCTCGTTACCGTGCTACTCGTTGCGTAGCCCGACGTCAAGGAAGTGGACAGAAGAAAACAGAAACATCAGCAGAAATGGTTCGAAAAGTAAAGAAGCGACATGATCGAAACCCGCCTTGCAGTGGCCGAAAAATGGCTTGTGAGCTGAACATATCGCAATATTCCATTCGGCAAATATTGAAATTCCAAAAAGTGCAAGAACTTACACCGCAATAGAAAGAAATTGGTGAACTGCCGAATTTGGTTTTCTCGGATGAGATAACATTCGTTGTCCAGCAGTTTGTAAGCAAAACAAGTTAAAAAGCAGTAAGTTCCGAACTTTAAAAACCCTCCACCATTTTGAACGAATTTGTAAATGTTCAAAAAATAAAATTCTTAAAATTTTAAAAATACCGAATATAGCCGTTATATTCGGGTCTATACGAAGTGGACCTTCATGGGCATTGTTTGTCATAAACCATTACCATATTCAAATTCGAAATTTGAAATAAACGGTGAATAATGTAGCTTAAATCATCAAAATATCGTATATAGGGAGGTACCGTTATATCGGAGCTGTGCGAAGACCTGGACCAGCATAGACAATTTACTGTCACAGGCTGTAGCATCTATAGGGAGGTACTGATATATGGGGCCTATACGAATACCTGGACCTGCATAGACAATTCATTCGAAAGATAGCGTGATTACAACAGACAGACAGACGGACATCGCTAAATCGTCTTAGAATTTTACGCTGATCAAGAATATATACATATATATATACTTTGTTGTGTCTAACGTGAGTATTTCGAGGAGTTACAAACGGAATGACAAAGTTAATATACCCTCCATAGTATGGTGGAGGGTATAAAAATGATCGTGTTAACTTGCCAAAAAGGTCAGCTGAAAATGTGCACCTTCGGTTGACCAGCAGTACTCAAGCGCCGTCCATGGTTCGGCATATTTCGACTTTTGAGTTCCCAGAATCAGGTTGCAAATTAATAGTTTTGATGAAAATTTCAAAAAAATCCGAGAGTTTTTACTAAACTAGAGTTAAGCCGGTTATTCTAACAATGGACATCCAGACGCTAATGGAACTCTAGAGGCCCATAATTCGGAATCTTGGGATCCCAGGGGATCTCAATCTGTGAAAAAGCCATAATTTATATTTAAACCTTATTTTTAATTAATAATTTATGCAAAGCTAAACATGTAGCGTTTTTTTTTATTTCGCTAAAAAATTCAAACATGTAACAAATTGTAATAGCAAACCACTAAATACCTATACCTACACATATAACTATTCTATATATCCTAATAATAAAATACTGATGTGACCATCCGTCTAGTTTATTTTCACATCTAAACTTGTGCCGGTTTGGCCACGGTAGCTTTCGTGGTTTTGGGTTGAGCATTCATGGCATCCAGTTCATTTTGTATGCATTCAAATTGTTGATACAATTGCAAGAGTTCATCGTGATTCATTTCCAGATTAATATCCTCCCCCGCACCCGTCTTCAATTGGAGCACTGCCAATGCTGTCTTCTCCCGTTGCTGACAATGTGATGAGATTTCGACATTCAATTTCCAAGCCACATCAGCAATTTCATTCGATTCATAACAATCTCTAGCTAAATTATTCATAATCGGAGTTGTTTGACGCACCCATAGGCGAACTATGGCATCGATTTTTGCTTCATCCTGCAGCTGTAGCTTATCCCTTAATTCAGCTTGTAATAGGGAAGGTTTTATAATGTAAGTGCTGGTGCGTCGCAATATATAAGAAAAGGTTTTAATCAATAGCAAGAAATCTGGACGTGGCACCCCAACCAATCGTTCCAATTCCTCCAGGGCATTTTCATTTTCCGCAGTAGAGGAGGCATTTTCCCCTTTGGAATCTCCGCCAGCTACTGTGGTCAACATTTGCCGATGAACATATTGAAGAACGGTGCTGAAGGTGTTGTACGGCAAGGAGTTGATAATTTTAATGCCTTCTCGGGCCCTATAATGATAAAATCCGTTGAGATGAGTACTTTAACAAAGATTAAATGATAGAATTGCTTACCTATCTGTTATTTTAATCCAGTTAATACTCATTTTAATTGTTTGTATATTTATATTTAAATTTTTTATTTATCTCTAAGCAACTATGTGAAACGAGCGAAGGTAAGGCAGATGTCTTGGCCGACGACAATTTAAAGATAGTCGCGAATGAAGGAAGAAATAAGACGAAGAATGTATAGAAAGTGGAAAAGGTAACAATGCGCGTAACATCTGTTTGTTTAAGGGATCTATAGATCGAAAACTAAGACAGGGCTATGAAATCATTATTAATGCTATTCATTTTGAAATGATAGCTGGATTCTTTTTAAAGGCCCCAATCACTATCAATATGGCTGTACAGTCCATTGTACAATAAATCAAGGTACGGCATAGCTAACAATCGATTTTATTTTTTTATTTGTTTGGCTTAGCATGTCAAATTTAGTTGTGTCTACTTTTTCATTTGTAATTTAAACGCCTATAACAACTGTTACATTGTTTCTCAAAAAGTGATAAATTAACAAAAATAAAGATTTGGGATTTTTTTTTTTTTGTAAATTCATATTTAAAATTAAATTAGAGCAGATTCCAATTGAAGATAAAATAGGAATTTGAAATATTTGAATTATTTAGATAAATTTATTTGGTTTCATAGAAATGCTCTGCTTATAAAGATACGTTGTAATTTTAAGATTTCTATACCCTCCATCATAGTACGGAGGATTTAGCAATGTACGTCTGTGGAAACCACTCTAGCTTTTGAACAAATGAAGTAGGTTGATAAAATTGTACTCAAATGTATATTATGTCTGCAGAACTTTTGGTATTCAAAGTGGCCCAAAGCCCAAATATAACGGTACCTCCCAATATCCGGTATTTTTATGATTTTAGCGACATTATTCACCGGAATTGTTTCAAATTTAGTATTTGAAGTTCGTAATGGATACTACAGTCTATGACAGAAAATTGTTAGTGCAGATCCGGTTCTTCGTATAGCCCCCATATAATGGTATCTCCCGATATTCGGTATTTTGATGATTTTAGCGACATTATATATCGGAATTGTTTCAAATTTGGTGTTTGAAGTTCGTAATAAATACTACAGCCTATGACAGAAAATTATCTGTGCAAGTCTGCGTTTTGGTATAGCTAAATTATTCACCAATTTATTTTTTTTAAGTTTCGCAGTCAAATATTGTGTTTTAGATGTTTCATCAAAATTTTTTTAATTAATTTTATATTTTTTTTATTTCTTTTATTTTAACACAGACATTTGACTTAGCCATTACCTCAATGGATTTATCGATTTATGGCCGAGAAATCTTAGAAATTTTTAAGCAATAATTTTTGCCTAAAGCTTGAAAATCTTATTCCACACAGATATAGTTTTTCCTACAACTTTAATCCTTAATACAAAAAGCCATATTTTCTTATATGTGATATAAACAAAAAAATCTTTATTTATGAATAAATAGAGAAATATGCAATAGGATCTAGGCATTTCAATAATCATTTCAATTATTTTTTTTCGTTTTTATTTCTTCTTAAATTACAATTAATGTGTGTTATCATTAACAAACAATTCTAAAAAAAATAATAAACTTAAAAGTACAATTTCTTTTTTGTATAAAGGACTCAATTTCTATTCAAAAGATTCAACTTTTGATATGTTTCTGGGAGAAGAAAACAAAACAAATAAAACAAAAAAGCAACTGTACTAAACTAAACTAGGCAACTAAAAATAATTGAAGTAAAATACAATTGAAATACAACTAAATAATGGGATAATTGAAATAACTTAAAATGTAAAAAATAACTTAACAACATTAGGATAATTTTTGTTCAATAATTAAGGTGTATGCAATTTCTATATAAAAATATGTATTTTTTGAATTTTGATGGGAAGCCAACTGGAGAATCGACTTCAAATCAAAGAAATAAAGTCAGGTATTTTTTCATAGAAACAAAACAAGTAATAGGAGAAAGCAAACAATTATTTTGGGGGGTGACAAGTGACAAAACAAGGAGGGCGCTAGTCATAAACTATCGACTCAAATTGTTGATATACAGGGCATGTAGTTCAGTGCGTGGGGTGTTTTCAAAGAGGGCGGCGCGATTTTGACCTTCGCCCTTCTTGACCCAATGACCATATACTCGGAAGGCACAGCCATCAATAACCTGAGTAATGGGAAGAAGAAGAATAGATTTTAATTAGAAAGTGCTTTAAATAAATACTTCAAGAATTTACTTACCTTACGCAAAACCTTAACTCTATAAGGATCACGTATAGCCTCTTCAACGTGCAGCGGTTCAGCAGTGTATCGCAATCTTCGAATGCGTATAACTGCTCTGATCACCAATATGGCAAATTGGAATTTCTTACGGGCATTAAAACGACTCTGCTTACGAAGCTGTTGGCAAGAGAAAACAATGTAAATTTAAATTTAGTAAAGATGTCTTTGCAATTTGTTTCGGATGAGTAGTGAAAACAAATAAACACTCAAAGCTTAAAAAGAGTTTAAGAAAAAATATGGATTCAATTTTATTTTAAATGGGTTGAGTTCAAACCTTTTTTAAACATGTTGAAATTTAAATACTGGATAAACGAAAAATCAGGCTTGCGTTATGGACACAGTAATTAGTTGGTTTCTGAATATTAGAGCTTTAAATAAAATTTCTAGAAACGATCTTGGATTTTAAGTTAAGAGGAAGAGGGAGGACCAGAACCAAGAAAGCACGCTATTCCCGTATGAACTCAATGATTAAAAACTGGGGATGTTTTCGATGTTTTCTCGATATCAGCTTTATTACAAATCTAGAATCTGAAGCTACAATTCCTTACGGCGATTATTAAAACGAATCGTTAGGCTCGATAACATTAAAAGAATGGGACTAATCTTGAGTGCTCTGCGACTCAATGAACTGGGACAATGGCGGAGTCAGCCCTTTGGACACACCGTCATTCTCAAGCATGTGGAAAGCATAGGAAATCAGGCTATAGCTAGCGATTATATATCACCTGGATTATATATCATCCTTCAAACTAAGCAACGACTGTAGCGTTTTTCAGGCAGAAATCTAATATAGCTGCTGGCAAATAACATCAATGAACTACATATGTCGATAGTCAAGTGGCCCTGAAGGCTCTAAATTCATTTACAATCAAATCTATGGCAATTCTGGAATGCAGGAATGCTCTGGAAAAGGTTAAGTGGTTTGACAAATTCTGTTGAGTCCTTGGCCACTGCAACATATCTGGCAATGAAATGGCCAGATGCGGATCTGTGTCAGTAGATCTAGAGATTGAGAGCTCAGTGAAGCCACAGTCATGTCACTTCATTCAAGTACCGAATAAGCATTATCTTGGGAAATTTCAACAGAACTGGCTAACTGGAAGGGGATGTAATGTTTTCAAAAATATTTGGCCGGTGAACTCCAAAATGAGATCAAGGTCACTCATATCCATGACGAAGCTGTACTTGAAGCTTGTGGTGGGCCTAATTACAGGACACTGCAACATAAAGGCCATGACATCGAAATAGGGGTTACGACACTGAACACTGCAGGCTTTGTCAGGACGAGGAAGAAACTGAGACGGTGGAGCACTTACTCTGCCCAACTTTTATAGATGTGAGACAGAGGCAACTGGGTAAGAAAATTCTGCCAGACTTGTCTTTCCTCTCCGACATCGGTCCAGCAGTCATTCTTCAGTTAGCCAGAAGACTAAAATGGCTAAGAACGACACATAATACACCGTGGATGCAAACCAACTACCTTCTCTACTCTTTATATAGGTTCTCACTTCTTCATTATCCGCTATTCGTTTCCTTCTCTTCTCTCTATTCTATTCTCCTATCTTCTTAAAGTAGGATGAACACAATGGACCAATAGGTCTCCGAGTGGAGTGGTTGTTTTTATAACCGCGCATCCTTTAACCTAACCTAATCTAAGTTTGTCAAACTTTTAAATTTTTTATTAATAATCCAGCTTAATCCCTGTGTGGGCGATTTTTTTTTTCAAAAATATGAAAATTATGACCCACGACATAACAGATAACATAACATTCCATAAAACGGTAAAGTTTTTTCTCTCCTATTTCTTAAATATTATGGTAAATCAATATTGAATTTTACAATAACCATCAAAAAATAATTCTAACAATTTAAAAAAAAAATAATATTTTTGTCTGTTTTTTTTTTAATCCATATTTTTTCTTAAACTTCCTTTTTTACACAATTTTCTACTATTCCAATATTTGTTTAGTATTTATAGCAGATTTTATGTATTGTTTCTATATATTTAATAAATTGGAATGTAACAATGCACAGAATTATAGACAGACAGAGACAGTTTCAGTTATTAGGTGTGGTGGTGTGGTCTTGTGGTGCTATATAGGGTTTCAGTGGTGGAAAATAAATCAAGTAAATAATAAGTATTATAATATTTACATAAACTATGTACAAAATTGGAAATAAAAGAATGTGTATATATATATAATTTAAAAACAATATAAATTTTGAAGGAAAATATAAAACTACATTTGTGGAGTGCTGCTGTACTAAAGGAAAGCAAATTGAATTTGTTTTTTTTTGTAGTATTCAATATAGAATGCTGTAGTTCGTTAAGTTTACATGATTACAGCTCGATCTATGTTATATGTATGACTTTCGAAAACAATGATTTTCGAAACAATTTTTTTTGTAAAGCCCTGATATTTTTGAAGCAAATCAGAGCTGATTCCAATTTAAGATAGATTAGGCATTTGAAATGACTTGGCATTTGTCTCAGAGCAATTTGCTTAGTTTCAAAGTCATGCTCTTACCTTATAAAGACGCTTTATAATTTCCAGAGATTATTTAAAATTATTATATTGTAATAAAAACCTTTAAAAAACTAATCATTCATCATAAGAAATGTGATGGATTGGAAATAGATTCATTAATTCATGCAACACGGACTTCGTTTCTAGTTGTAGATAGGTAAAATTATATATTTTTTATTACATTCCTAACAATGTAATAATATTTGGAATCTGTTATATATAAACTGATTTAATACCAACTTAATTCGCATTCTTACTTTTCTTACTGTTGCAACCCTCTACATAGGAGACCTATACAAAGGAGACGACTTTGTGTCGATGTCAACTCAAATGTTTAAAAATGCTCTGAAAGCGTCGAAACCTAAGGGTCCAACGTAATGGAGGACGAATCTTTGTCTATACTAGCTAGATTGCAGGGTGAGATGAAAAAACTGCAACCAACTTCTGACTGCTGTCATTTCTAAGCCACTAAATGTTATTCCAGTGACAGCTCATTATATTGTTTACAATCGTACAAAAGCATTTTGGTTAGAAATTTCCAGAAAAAAAGATATTCGTGATGGAATTCAAGCGTGATAATGTGAATTCTCTATATTTGGCTGGAAAACCATAAGTGGCTATCGTTAGAACACTCCAGTCTCCAGTGTCTCGTACTGGTAGCGTAGCCCGACGTCAAGGAAGTGGTCGGAAGAAAACTGCAACATCAGCAGAAATGGTTCGAAAAGTAAAGAAGCGACTTGATCGAAACCCGCGTCGCAGTGGCCGAAAAATGGCTCTTGAGCTGAACATATCGCAATATTCCATTCGGCAAATATATATTGAAAAATGAGCTCGGGGTAAAGCTATTAAAATTGCAAGAAGTGCAAGAACTTACTTAACACAAAAGAGCTAAAAAGTTGCTTCGCTTGGCCGAAAGTGGCGAACTGCCGAATTTGGTTTTCTCCGACAACATTCGTTGTCCAGCAGTTTGTAAACAAACAAAATGATCATGGTTACTTGCCAAAGAGGTCAGCTGAAAATGTGCACCTTCGGTTGGCCACCAGAACTTAAGCGCTGGCCATGGTGATGTTGTGGGCCGCCATAACAGCCGATGTCCGCTCTTCGCTCGTATTAATCGACCGTGGCATCAGAATAAATGCCGAATATTATCGTGAACATATTCTGGAGGGTGTATTAAACCATTGGGTACACAAACATTTTGGCCGCAGACCTTGGGCATTCCAACAGGACTCAGTACGCGCCACCCAAAGAATGGTTACAAAATGAGGTTCTTTGCTTCATTTCCAGCGCACACGTGTCTGAAGTATTTTGAAAAGCAAGGTTGGAACTAAAAAATACCAAAGTGTCGATCACCTCAAGCAAGTGCTTCGCCGGGAATGGGTTAAAATACCGCAGAGAAACATTCATGGCAGCGGTTTCATCGGCCGTTTGAAGGCCATAATTCGTGCCAAAGGTGATCAATTCGAACGAATCTAAACTTATTCTAATAATGGATGCTATTTCCCACATTTTTTGCTTTCATTCAATAAAATTTAAAAAAAAAAAAAATATATAAAAAATATGGCGTTTGACTTTGTTGCAGTTTTTAGTCCACTGCAATATATTTGCTTATATCGTGGGAAAATAAAATCTATATCCTGTATATTAAGATGCATTACACATTCTTAAGAATATGTTGAAATATGTTTAAAATCTGTGATCATGAGTTGTGAGCCCAACTGATATAAGCTCAGCTTAATGGGATTTGAAATTTATAGAAAAAATGTTAAAAAAATCGATTTAGTTTACTGATAGTTACATACTCTTATTATCCGATTTTCTACGGGCCTTGCAAGTGACTTTTTATTTTGTGACTTTTTATTGTGATTGAAATGTAGCGAGGCTTTACTTTTTGTTTTGTAACAAATCGAATATATTTAGTTTCCATCACATACCTATCTACGTCTTCATTTGACTTTGAGAATTTCCCAGATTTCCAATTATATTTTTTTCATTTCTTTGGTTTATGCACATCTATACATTTATGTGTCATAATCATTATATTGTCAAACATATAATGCATTCACATAAAGAAGAACAATATTATTAAATTAACGTTGTATCCAAAGTTCAACCAAAATATTTTGAACTTAGCAACCGTATTGATATGCTACGCTGAATAAGATGTGCACACACGAAAAAAAAGTCCAGTGACATAGGTGATATAAACAGCAACCAAATGCAAATATGTATTGGAATATTTAAAGAGAGTTATATGCACTTTCAGAGGTAGATATAGATCAGATGTAGAATTTGAAATCCATGAGAAGAACATTTTTTAAATGAAAAAAAAAAAACACACACACACAGAATTATTTTGTTATCATCACACTTATAGGCTGTAGACAGTAAAATCTTAATCCCTACTGAAAATGCAAACACTTTTGATTAAAAATTTCCCGGTCTGAAAGACTTTTCGCATTGCATTGTATGAATTATTAACAAGTAAAATATTAATTACACTGTCAAGATTTGGGCAGGCCGTCTGACATGACTCTACATTTTCAGACCATTTAAGAATTAATAGAGTGGAATTTGTGTGTGTTTCTGTCACTGTTAACACATATGGATCAAGCTTTCTACATCTTTTATGAAATCTTTACCTCCTCAGTGTAAATCATAAGATTACCGTATTCTCGGTCCAATAATTCTAATAAAGTAGTCGTAAGTAACAGTTTCCGATTTTCGAGTTGCCATTGCTTGCGGATGATGCAAATCCCAGTCGATGGATTAGCTGAGAATTTATATAAACTGTCGTGGTTGACAATTAGCGGGCACGAAAGTAGAGTCACGATTTAAACATTAAAGTATGACACGTGGTGCTGTTGAATTAACTAATCATCCAAGTTATGGGTTTTAATTATGGGTTTAAAGGAAAAGCCCAATACTAAAATTTAAAAACCGACTATATTTTAAGGGAGCCTCTTTAATGGCCGAACTATTTTCTTGTCATATATATTTGTAGCGTATTCACTACTTAAATTTTTCGTAAGTCTCTTCAAAAGCCGGCGACATATAAATAACAAAAATATTAAAAACCACATCAAATTTCAAACCAAAACAAAAAATCTGTGTCTGATTTGGATGATACAACAGGCAAACCTGTTTGAATTGCGGCTTCGGGTACTTGGTCCAGTAAACGACAGCCTGACTGTGATCCTTATTGCTCAATCATAATTGGGACAACCGAGATTCTTAACAGTTCTTTATATCAGATTGCCAGCAGAGATGTGGAACTAGTCTGTTTTAATGAATCATAACTCATAGCATCGAAAGAACCCGAAGAGCGGTGGGGAGAAGTAGAAAAGAGTGGCATGGTCAACAGAAAACTGGATGTGTCACAATGTGTGGTGTGCAGAACTTCGACTTGGATCCTATTAAAATTTGGGATAATAACCTCGTGCTCTAGTGAACAAGTTCGATGGAGCTCTTCTCATGTAACTACGAGGAATTTCAAGTGGCCAGTTTTTGTATAAACCAACTGCTAATAGCAGAGCCTTTTCGAAAATGAACATTTTCATCATGGGTAGATTAGGTTCCAGGCCACCGCAATATTATTGGAGACAAAGCAACAGATGAATTATTAAGAGAATCAGAACCAAGTGACATGATTACCGGACTCACCTATGTGTCAGACGAAATGACTGCGAAAAATGCAGAACTATGCCCTTGCGAATTGAACATGGTCTTTACTCTCACTGACAAAACTGAGGGGAAAAAATAGAAACGGACCATGACATTCGGCTCTGTGAGAGTGAGGATGAAAAAGAATTGGAAACGATTGAATAGATGTCGTACACGTCTCAAAGAATGCATTTTCGTCCAAAGCGGAAACAAAACTCATACTTCTACTGGGTATGAGTGTATTTTTTTTAACAAGTCTCCATGATCTTATATTTCTCAAAAACGGAAATCAATTGACTTTCTTATGTCCATTATTAAAACTTTCAGGATGAACAAAATGGATCAAAGGAATCCGAGTCCATTAATGTAACATACGTTACAGTGTTTTAAAAAAAAGGACGTTCAAATCGATTAATTCAAAGCTTCTATTAAACGGTTTTACTGAGCTTCTCAGCCGCTTTACAAATAAAAAAAAATGGGACAGAGCATCCAGAAAAAGTGACTGTTATAACGACGACTTCCTTTTAAGGAAACAACTCCAGATTATATCATCCCATCCATCTTTTTTTCAGACGATGCTGATGAAATCGAAACCATAATCACAAGGTGCCAAGTTTGGATCATTAGTTTCTTTCAATGATTTTATCAAAGACGTAAATGTTGGCTTCGGACAACATGAAAGAAACTGAACCATAAAAAAATTAGTTGAGATAGAAATTAGTTTCAGGCCACTATTACATATGTTCTCTGGAAAATTAACAGTTATGCCTGTTTAACATGTCATTGAGACAGAACCGTGTTCAAAAATTTATGTTGAAACTTTCAACTACATTTTTAAAACCTCCAAATCTTCAAGGAAAATTATTAAAATTGACAGAATGAAATTAAATAACAAGATAAATTTTAATGACTGTAACTTTACCCCCCAAAACACGTTCTGAATTACCTTTAATGTATTCCTTTATTCCTACAACACGGTTTTGAGGACACGAAATACACAATATTAAAAACGGATATAAAAAATTCATTTGAGTCTCTGCCTTTAGTAACCTAATAATATTATTTTCCCCTGATAATGATCTATTATTCACCACTTGTTTGTGTAAAATATTTAACTACTTAAAATAATAAATAACACATCACACACACCACATACATACATACATATTACACATGTAAATAAACACACACACACACACATTACTTAGCAATGTATATTAAAATATTTTTGTAAAGGTGCATATAAAGTACTTTTTATTTTCGTTTTTAAATAAACCGAAAAAAGTAGTGCAGCCAAATATTCGTTTTTTTTTGTAAATAACTTAAAAACTAAAAAATTAAATAATAAAAATAAAAGAAAACCTGCCTGGGGTGTATAGAAATATTCTGTAGTGGGAGGAGGAGGACAATTAGACAACTGAGATGAAAACTGATGATATAACGTTGGTTGGTGTTGCAACTGTGGATGTGGTTGCTGTTGCTGCTGCTGTTGTTGGTGGACAGGCGGTGGATGTGGCATTGCAAAATAGCCCGCAGCTGCATTAGAACTTTGAGAATAATCCATGACAAAGCTACCTTGCTGCATTTGCGAGCCATATGTCACTGTGGTATTGTTGTTATGATGTTGTTGGAAAATACGTTGTTTATCACGTTGAGTATTATTGTTCTGTTGATGGGGTCCCGTTCCAGCGGGTATTGTGTATGGAGCCTGGTTGGCATTGCTTGTTGAGGTTGCAACAGTATCGATGGGCGTAATAACATGGTTGTTGGCGGCATTGATGGAATATGTACTTTGTCCAGAATAATTGTTGGGGTTAGTGGAATTATTTTGATAAAATTTGGAATATTGTCGAATAGTATGAATGCTTTTTTCTCGCAGATGATAAGTAGTTTTTTGACCGTCAAACGAGGGTTCGGGTAATAAAACCTAAAAATGTTTGGTAATCGAGTTGTTGGGTAATGTTTGGATTCAAGAAAAAGAAAATGGTTTTGTTTTAGAAAAAAAAGAGACAAATTAAATGTAAAAACTAAAAACTAAATCAAAAGGTAAATTTCAATTTCGATAGAAAAAATGATGATTTAGAAATGACAGTTTTTTTTTGAAAGATGAAAAGTCAAATAAGCACTACAAAATGATTCAGGTGATGATGAATTCGATGCGGCATACTAATACAACAGTCTTGGAAACTTGGCAGTAAATTGAAATTCCCCCAAACGGTATCATTACTTTAGTTATCCTCAGTGACGATGATGATGATGACGTTGTGATATTTTTCTAACTATTGATAACTTAAATATAAATCTGGGACAATTTTTAAAATTTTGTTTCAATTTAAAAAAATATATACAAAATTTTGTTTCCCATATATGCACCTTTGTTCTATACAGATATCTCTTTTTTACTCAGAGAATAAGAACATGCACAAACATGCCTAAATATACACAGTTTTAAAGGATTTTCTTTATAAATAATAATTAAGGACAACATAACATAAAAAAATATGAATGAGAACACAAAAACAACAGAAAATACGGGATAATTTAAAGTGTAGGGGAAATTCAAACAAGGACAAATGATAAAAAAAGTTTTAACAAAACGAAACAATTAAGTCAAAACGAAACTTAAATATTAAATCAAAGCACAATCACTCGTTTCATTAGGTTATTCAGACAGTGTTGACATTTTTGATAAATCCAAGAACAAATCGTTACCATTGCAATTTCAGTGATGCGACTCATTCTCCTAGATTTGAGTGAGAGACTGCGCTTGAGACCGTCGATATTTTGCTCGAACAACTTTAAATTATAATTGTTGATTTGATTGTGTTTAATATTGTTGTAAAATATTTTTTTTCATGAAAAATTTTAAAGATATTTATTTTTTTTTTTTTTTGGAAAAGAGGTGAACATCATCGACAATTGAGGAAAATTATAGAAAATAAAGAGAATAATTAACAATAATGTAAAAAAAATTAAAAAGGAACGTAAAGAGTTATATCAAAAAGAAATATTAACTAAACGGAAATTGAATAAAAAAAATTTAAAACAAAAGCAATACTAGGTCTATGACAAATGAAATATGTTGAGGTGGAGGAGGAAAATGATATGTTTTAAAAATATTTGCCAATTTGAAATGGTGTAGTTATTAAAATTTAAAAACAGTTACATTTGAAGAGAGATTTAACAATTTGATTATAATGAATGATAATGTTGTGATGGTTGTTAGACTACAGCATGATGAATGACGTTTATTGTTATACAAATGATTTTTAAGAGAAATTTTGTTGAAATGAAATTCAAAACATATTTTGAGAAATCTATTGGATTATCTATGGATTAGGTGTAGTATGATATTATTTTTTCGGTACTCAGTTAATGCTAAACAATTACCTAGTATTGTTTTTTTTTTTCTTTCTTTTTTTACAAAACACTCAAAACAAAACATAAACTTACCATTTGATTAAAGAATGGATGTTGTAATACTTCTTGTACTGTGATCCTTTGGGCTGGATCAACGACTAGACATTTTCGTATCAGATCTTTGGGATCCTCTGTTAACAAAAAAAAAAAAAATACATAATCATGAGAAAACGATAAGAATATTATGACATTAAAAAAATATGTTGAAATGAAGTTGAATCTGAAAAATGCAAAAATTTTGAAAACGGGTCGATATATTTAATTGCCTTCGGGGATAAAGTTTTCTGCCGGTTAAAAATCTTGATTAGGTCTCCAAGGATATTTTCGACACATGAAATATTTTATTCATTGTTCGTAAAAAAGGCATTCTAATAAATAAAAGTTAAAATTGCTACCGAGTATAAAAATATTTTTTACAATTTTCAAATTTTATTCAAGGTGACCAATTCGAACAAATCTAAACTTATACAAAAATTTGATGATATTTCCGACATTTTTTGCCTTTATTCAATAAAATTAAAAAAAGTGATAATTATGGCGTTTGACTTTGCTGCAGTTTTTTCATCTAACCCTGTAGAACTTACAATTTTGAATACTGAGACGAACTGGAAACTATGTTTCGCTACTCTAGACGTTGGTGATAACTAAAACATTCTTTAAAAACTTCCAGCATTTTACACCTATTTGAATTAAAATAAGTACTTATTTCAAAAATAGTAGTAAATCGCTTGGTTTGTTTACACAATTGCGGATTGTGTGGGAAACAATTATAGAACGAAGGCGTAAATTAAGATTTTAAGACTTGTGTACTCCCTGTTTTATTGTATGGGTGCGAAACAGGGTTTGTGACAGAAATTCCTACGTAAAATTTTACGCATATTTTGGCCGCGCAAAATATCTAACGAACATCTGTGGATGAAGACAAATATGGTTGACATAAATATCGAAAAACGTAGGAGAAAATTTGGCTGGATGGAGAAGTATACAACCGTGCATTAGTCTACAACCCTCAATGAAGCGGAACAAAAGAGGTAGACCCAAAAACATCTGGAGGAGGCCAACTATATCAAAAATAGAATCTATGCCTCGTAGTCTTGGGAGATCCTATATGAACATTGTAAAACTGTGTGAAGTAGCTACAAACCGGCAGATATGGATACAATTTTAAGACAGCCTATGACCAGTGTAGAGACAACTCGTTATCAGAAAACGACGTGCATGACATAATAATAGTAATTACAAAAAATATACCTGATATATCCGCCCATTCTGGTGATGTAAAACTATATTTGCCCTCCATGATATTGCGCAGCATAACCATCTGTTTGCGATGCCAAAAAGGCGGACAACCTACCAATAGGGTAAACATTATGACACCGCACGCCCAACTAAAAATAAATTAAAAACAAAAAAATTAGTTGCGAGAGGCTTCTCAAAATTACAACTATTTAAAATGCATACTTACATGTCTACCTCTCTACCATAGCCTGGCGAACCTTCAAACATGTTACATTTAAGTGTTTCGGGTGCTAAATAACCAGGTGTACCACAAAGATCTAAAATGTTGTATACAAATGAATGGTCTGTTGTTGTATTTGTAATAATTTATTATGACAATTTACCTGTTAATTTTTCTCCGTCTTTTAGTTGCCTCGCAAAACCAAAATCGGTTATTTTAACATTGTGATTTTCATCTAACAGAATATTTTCGGGTTTTAAGTCTCTATGTACAATATTTTTAGAGTGTATGTATTCGACACCCTCAAATATTTGCCTCATTATTGTGCGGGTCTTTTTCTCGGACAGTGTTACCACAGATGTTAGATAATCGAATAGTTCACCTTTGGGACATAGTTCAAAGACCAAGAAGACAAAGGCATCTGATTCGAAGACATCTTGTAAATCGACTGATGGAGAAGAGAAGAGACAAAGAAATTGGATTAAATTCAAATAAAAATAAGTCAAGTACTGTTGTTGCTGTCTTACTTATATACGGATGGCCCATAACTTGTCTGAGTATTGAGATTTCTTGTCTGGTAGCTTCTAACATATGATATGGATTTGTATCGCCGGTTTCTGTGCCTGCACCCAAATCAATGATTTTAGCTGCAAACTCTTTGCCAGTTTCCTTTTCGATGCATCGTCGTACCGTTGAACTAATGCCTCTGAAATAAGAAGAACGAAAAGAGAGTGTTAAGAAAATATGTTTTTCGATTGGAAATAGAAAAGTAAAATAGAAAGGGTAAAATTTAACTAGACTCGATTTGACTGTAATTTTCAATACAACTACAGGGTATTATTGGGTTTCCTTATTCCCCTCCCAGAACACATGCATGAACCTCACCTCCATTAACATGACTTTTACATTGTCAAGGGCAATTAGCATCTTTTAAAGTGTTGCTTTTTTCAATTGCTTATGACCATAGGAACTAACTTGTTGCTTGTTATACAAATGTGGATAACGCAACGCAAACAAGAAAGTAATTATCTAAATTCGAAGCAACAGCAACAAAGGAGAAAATTTGTCGGCAAATTTTACAGATATTTATATAATAGCTATTGACAAAGTTAGAATATGTAGATGTAATCAATAAGACATACTATTTATTATTCTAATTAGAAAGATAAGCTACGATGAACCTGCCCGAAAGAGAAGACAATATTTGAAGTAGCTTTTGGCGGTTGGTTTAAACAAATGATTATCAGCAATAATAATAACAATAAAAACTGTCATAATCTTTTTTTTCGAACCCATGAGGGCGGGGCTGAAGCACTAGTTGTGATTTTATATGTATAATATGCAGAATCTTTGAATTTCTGGATATGTTATTTCAGTATTAAACATGAAATGTAAAGAGCTACAAGACTGGTTACAAACATTTAAGACCAAATCATGAAATGAAAAATATAGTTTCAATTTGTTGTACAATTGTTGCATGGTGGTTCGGAATGGTAGCAATCTCAGCTGTTCCATAGGTCGGCAACTAAAAAAGTGTACATGTTGAACCTGGCAGAAAGATGGACTGCCAATGACTGGCATTTTCATTACCAAATATACAGGGTGAGACAAAAAAATGCAATAAAGTCAAACGCCATAATTTTTACATTTTTTTTTAATTTTATTGAATGAAAGCAAAAAATGTTGGAGATAGCATCGAATTTAAGAATAAATTTAAATTTGTTCGAATTGGTCACCTATGGCACGAATTATGGCCTTCAAACGGCCAATGAAACCGTCACACGCTGACGGCATGTTGCTCTGCGGTATTTTGGCCCATTACCGGCGAAGCGCTTGCTTGGGGTGATCAACATTTTGGTATTTTTTAGTACCAACATTGCTTTCCAAAATACTCCAGACACAATATTCCAACGGATTGGTATCCGGAGATTTTGGTGGCCATTGTGCGCTGGAAATGAAGAGAGGAACCTCATTTTGTACCCATTCTTGTGTGGCGCGTGACGAGTGCGATGGTGCTGAGTCCTGTTGGAATGTCCAAGGTCTGCGGCCAAAATGTTTGCGTGCCCAAGGTTTTAATACACCACCCAGAATATTTTCGCGATAATATTCGGCATTTATTCTGATGCCACGGTGGACTAATTCGAGCGTAGAGCGACCATCGGCTGTTACGGCGGCCCACACCATCACCATGGCCGGCGCTTGAGTTCTGGTGGCCAACCCGCTGACCTCTTTGGCAAGTAAACGCGATCATTTTGTTTGTTTACAAACTGCTGGACAACGAATGTTTTCTCATCGGAGAAACCAAATTCGGCAGTTCACCACTTTCGGCCAAGCGAAGCAACTCTTTAGCTCTTTTGAGTCTATTTTCTTTCTGTTATGGTGTAAGTTTTTGCACTTTTTGGAATTTCAATGGCTTTGCCCCGAGCTCATTTTTCAATATTTGCCGAATGGAATATTGCGATATGTTCAGCTCACGAGCCACTTTCGGCCACTGCGGCACGGGTTTCGATCAAGTCGCTTCTTTAATTTTCGAACCATTTCTGCTGATGTGGCTGTTTTCTTCCGTCCACTTCCGTGACGTCGGGCTACGCTACCAGTATCACGGTAACGAGCGATGGTACGAGACACAAAAGATTTATTCACATTTAAATGCTGAAGTGCTCTAACGATAGCCACTAGTGCTTTTCCAGCCAAATATAAAGAAATCTGGAAAATTGTCACCAAAATGCTTTTGAACGCTTGTAAACAATATAATGGGATATCACTGGAATAATTTTAATAGCTGTCGGACGAATGGCTTATAAATGACAGCAGTCTTAAGTTAGTTGCAGTTTTTTCCTCCCACTCTGTACAAAAAAAATATGTCAGATATTTTTTTTAAAGTTTCAAGTGCCCAAGGAATCTTGGCTATTGATCGTTATATTGAAAAGTGGACACTTGAATTTATTACGGCTTGAAAACAAAATATACAATCTAACTTCCTCATTGCAATTCCTATTATTTCTCACCTATCTCAGTCCTCTAAAGTACTATCAATGTCAATGTTCTGCATTTGTCCATGCACTTCACACGTTGTTATTATTTCAAAACATTTTTCTTTTATCAGCCAAGTTGGGGCGTCCGGACTCATAAAAAAAACACTATTCTTTTATGACTATAAACAATAATTTCTAATCTTAAAGTAAATATTTGTTGCAATAATTAGCGCTAAGACCATATAAGCCATTTATTGTTGATATTAGAATTGTCTGCGGCGGCTGAAGAGGTAATGCCGGTAACAATTTCAAAAAGTTTTAGCAAATTTTATAATAAAATATAAAAAAAAATAAGCAGTCACATGCATTTTACATGCCTTGAACACTAACAATGTGAATGATATTTTTAAATTGTTTTTTGTCAGTGGGTCTTAAATTGGTTATAACAAGAATGAAAGTCACCGGGTTGACTGTAATATTTTGTTATCTAGTACTTTTTGTTTATTATAAATACATTTTTTTTGCATTAAATGTTATTAGTCATAAGACTAAGGAGTGTAAACATACCTACTAAATGGTTTCTGGGGTATTCTAGGTAAAATTTTGAAAACTAATAAAAACGCAGTCTTTTGAATAGTAAATCAAGGAAGGAAACACACAACAACAGCGGATAATTTTGGAAAAATGAAATTTGAAAACATGTTTAATGGAAGTTGTCCGAAAGACAAAGTTATTGATTTTTCGGGGACGAAGCACAATGATATTACAGAAAACGAGATTTTTGATGATTTACCACGTTAGAATTCTCTAAAATTCTCGAATGTTCTAAAACTATGATGGGTGTAACCTTCACCATTTAGCGATCGACTTTTGCTCATACAAGGCATGAATACTTATTTAACCATTTACTGGCATCTTAGGCCTTCATAAAGTCGAGATCTGAATTGATTTCGAAGGACTTTATACAAAACTGCCAAGTTGGTTCTTGGACCGGTTCGCAAGATGGGAACAATGTTAATAATGATGTAGTAGTGATAATGAGCCGTAGTTAGAGTCAAGCGAACACCTACCATGCCAGAGTCCAATTATATACAGCACCAGATCCAGGCTAGGTCACTTCTAGACCCAGCAATCACTGTTCTTTTCAATTAGCTATGAGCAATATTTCATTCGGCAAATATTGAAAAATGAGCTCGGGCCATTGAAATTCCAAAAAGTGCAAGAACTTACACCGCAACAGAACGAAAATAGACTCAAAAGAGCTAGAGTTGCTTCGCTTGGCCGAAAGTGGTAAACTGCCAAATTTGATTTTCTCCGATAAGAAAAAACTCGTTGCCCAGCAGTTATGTTAACAAACAAAATTATCGTGTTTACTTGGCAAAGAGGTCAGCTGAACATGTGCAACTTCGGTTGGCCACCAGAACTCAAGCGCCGGCCATGGTGATGGTGTGGGCCGCCATAACAGGCGATGGTCGCTCTCCGCTCGTACTAATCGACATTGGCATCAGAATAAATGCCGAATATTATTCTGGAGGGTGTAGTAAAGCCTTAGGCACGCAAACATTTTGGCCGCAGACCTTGGACATTCCAACAGGACTCAGCACCATTGCACCCAACACGCGTCACCCAAGAATGGTTACAAAATGAGGTTCCTCGTTTCATTCCAGTTCATAATGGCTACCAAAATCTCCGGATACCAATCGGTTGGACTATTGTGTCTGGTGTATTTTGGTATTTAAGTGTCGATCACCTCAAGCAAGTGCTTCGCCGGGAATGGGCCAATATACCGAAGAGCAACATTCGGGCAGTGCGTGACGGTTTCATTGGCCGTTTGAAGGCCACAATTCGTGCCAAATGTGACCAATTCGAACAAATCTAAACTTATTCTAAAATTTGATGCTATTTCCGAAATTCTTTGCTTTCATTCAATAAAAATTAAAAAAAGTAAAAAATTATGGCGTTTAACTTTTAAGAAGTGAGATGTGGCTGTGTTTTTTAAACGTACTAAAAATTGCTAAAACTTGAATTGTGAAATTCGAACAAGAAGTGTTCTTAAAAGCACTATGTTCGGTACCATTTGGTATTATGTGAACGTACATAGATAAAATCTTAAGATTTGGTTTAAGAATTAAATTTTGTTATTGGGGTCAGGGTTGAAAATTGAAGGGGATTTTGAAAGTATGTTCTAAGATAGTACAAAAATACTAGGTTGTTTTAAATTTGAAATTTAAGGGAGGGAATAGAGTTGGAAATTTAAAATGTAATGCTAGGATTACTTTTTGTGCAGTGCGGTTGATATATGGAGATGGATTTGTACTAAAAGTACTAAATGGTCTAAGATTCGGTGTTTGGGGAAGGAGCAGAGTTGTCAATTTGGAATGAGTGTCTTTGATGCTCTGTGAGATAGACGAACCAAAGGATTTTTGGAAATTCAAACAATGAGAGTATCAAATGTACCATAATGCACTATCTTGTGTTCATTCTTTTTCGTTAATTAAACGTATTTTAAAATTGGAATTTCTTAAAAGAATTTCAAACCACAATTTTTTCAAAATTTAAGCTTGAACTAACTATTTAAGGACTAAAATCGTATATTTTAGGCGAACATTCAAAGACTTTTGCTGAAGCAATAGTGAATTTGTTCTACAAGGTTTGTCTTAATGACGCTTAAATCCACTTCCCACCAGCACTTGTTGTTCGTCATTCCTTGTTAATATCACCATCTTTAAGT